TACAGTTCTGTTCATATAATCATTTGTTTCTTGTAAGCACTAACTTCAAACACAAGGAGAGACACTGTTTGACCTGGCGACGCCCATCATCAAACCAACGCTGGACAGAAATAGACTAGATAGCAATAAGCAATCGTGGGCGTGGGTCGGTAGGAGATTGTCGCTGCTTCTGGAACACGTGTGTAGATACCGATCACGCACTGGTCCGCGCTCGTGTGTGCTTACGACTGAGCGGACGTAGGAAACAGCTAGCGGTAAATCTATCGCGTCCCCAGCTCGATCAGGAAACTAAGTCCCTATTTGAGGAAGAACTATCTAAACACATTACTGAGTTCGACAGCTGTGCTCATCCTGAAGAAGCCTGGAAGAATATTCAGTCAGCCATAGATACAGCTGTAAAAGCTGTGAATAAGGTAAATCCAAAGGTGAGTAGAAACCATTGGATTTCGACTGCCTCATCCGAACTGATAGATGCCAGAAGACTTATTCCGGCGAGCTCCGAATTCAATGAGGAGCGAAAGCTGCACAAAAGGAAACTTACGAAAAGTCTCCGCAAGGACCGTGAACAGTGGTGGTTGACAAAGGCGAAAGAGATGGAAAAAGCATCGGCGATAGGCAACACTAGGCAACTCTTTAGACTCATCAGGGAAACGGGTGGGAGAAGGCAAATCATAAGTGAGACTATTTCTGAGAAAAATGGCTCCTTAATTAGCTCTCAGGATAGACGCCTCGAACGCTGGAAAGAACACTTTGAGGATCAATTTAACCTGCCTACAACCACACTGAGCCTCCCCGCCATCCAGCACACACCCGAATGGGATATAGACACTGACCCGGCGTCTGTAAGTGAGGTCGCAAAAGCTATCTTTAATTTGAAACGGGGCAAAGCGGCAGGACCCGACGGAATTATTCCGGAGGTGTTTGAATATGGGGGTGACATACTAGTATATAGTTTAACTAAGGTACTAGGTAACGTCTGGGAATCAGAGACGGTTCCATCAGACTGGGGTAAGTCGCTTATTATACCAGTATTCAAGAAGGGAGACAAGTCCTCATGTGATAATCATAGAGGAATCAGCCTAACGAACATAGTCTCTAAAATCCTAGGCTCAGTAATCATGCACAGACTAAGACGAACTCGGGAGGAACAAACGAGGGAAAATCAAGTGGGCTTTAGGCCAGGTAGATGGTGCATAGATCATATCTTCACTCTCCGACAGATCCTAGAACATAGACACACTTTTAGGCGTCCAACAATTGCCATATTTCTTGACTTGAAGGCGGCCTTCGACTCCGTGGATCGAGAGGTACTATGGCAATGTTTGACTGTGAAGGTAGTGCCAAGAAAGTACGTTGCACTAATCGAGGCACTGTACTCAAACTCACGTAGCCGTGTAAGGGCTTATGGGGAATTTTCATCTGAATTGATAACAACCAGTGGTGTCCGTCAAGGATGTCCACTTTCCCCTTTTCTGTTTAACTTCATCGTAGATATGCTAATGGAAGTATCCTTAACTGAACTCAACGACTTAGGAATCGACTTGTTACCAGGGAATAGTCTTATGGACTTAGAATATGCAGATGACATAGTCCTTCTAGGTGAAGATGCTGACAAAATGCAGAGCCTTCTGAACACCTTGAGCAGCAATCTACGTATGTTTGGCATGCGATTCGCCCCTGTAAAATGTAAGATGCTGCTACACGACTGGACTACGTCTACCCCTAGCTTAGTGATAGGGAGTGAAGTGATAGAACATGTTGACCACTTCACCTATTTAGGAAGTTGTATCAGCACCAACGGATTCATTGGTGACGAAATCTCAACACGGATCCAAAAAGCTCGGGCCGTTTTCGCTAACTTACACCGTCTCTGGCGTAGGCGTGACATCCGGCTGTCAACCAAGGGACGTGTGTACTGCTCAGCAGTTCGCTCCATCCTTCTCTATGGCTGGCCTGAAACATGGCCAATACGAGTTGAAGACATGAAAAGGTTGACTGTTTTTGATCATAGATGTCTACGATCTCTTTCTCACGTTAGGTGGCATAATAAGGTAAGTAATGTTGACGTTAGGCGTAGAGTGTTGGGTAAAGAGGGAAAATCACTCGAAGAGGCTATAAAGTTACATAGATTGAGATGGCTAGGTCACGTGCTGCGCATGCCTAACCATCGCCTCTCCCGACGGACGGGCATTACTAGCTGATATAGGTGCAGGTTGGAAAAGAGTAAGCGGTGGCCAAACAAAAACATAGCATCAATCCATGAAATCCTTGACAGTTAAACTGAGTCAGGTAGGGAGATGCAGACTTCCGGGTTGGGGCCCACCCTCGGGACTCTAAGAATCAATGGCTGGAGACAATAGGTGACATGGCTCAAAATCGTTGTCAATGGCTTACTCAGATGTATTCAGTCTCTTTAACCTTCATACTCCTTTCTACCATTACTCATTCTGTTTCACTCTTATACTTGTCAAAACTCTATTGATTCTCTTCACTCATTTTCTTGTCTATTTGGAACGTGGCAACTCGAACTGCTGCACTTCGGTGCCAAGTTGTATGTTGAATCCAGACAGACAGACAGAAACGACAAACACCTTGTAATAATGAAGTCCAGTGATCATACATACCTGAAAGATTAGGCATGTGATAAAAGAAATCTGTGAAAGGAATTGGAAAGAAGAAACTTAATACTTTGAACTACTGAAACTGTCGCCATTTAAGTAGCGAGATGGGAATTATGTCCTCTAAAGGAGACAGTCATATTATTATTATTGTTTCCTTTAATTCCTAGAGGAACATAGGGCTTCAGCCACATGTCTCCATTGCCTTCGGTTCTCTGCTAACGTTTTCACCTGACTCCAAGTCTGTCCACGTGCTTTCATTTCCTCTTCGCATCATCTCCTCCATGTCACCCTCGCACTGACGGACAACTCGTCGCTTCTCATTCGGGTTCCACTCCAGCAATGGCCTGGCGTGTGATGTCACTTGATGGTTTGTTTTCTCAGAGTATGGCCAATCCACCTACATTTCTTCCTACAGATTTGTTGTGCAATTGGTGTCTGCTGGGTTGGTTAGCTCCCAGAGATCCCACCCTGTTGCTGATCTTTTCTGCCCTGCCATCTGATCTTGAGTAGTATTGAGTAAAGACAGCTGTTGATGAAGGTCTGTAGTTTGTTCGAAGTGCCCTTCGTGACGCGGCGCGGTACCAAGTCTCTGATCCATATGGTAATTAGCACTGACTTCACACTGGAGTTGAAAATCTTATTTTTCATTCTGAGTGCTGGTGACCTCCACACAAACTTGAGAGTAATGAAAGCTTGTCTTGCATTCCCGATCCTCGCTTTGATATCCTTGTCAGTTCCGTCCGCCTGTAGTTGGAGCCATACATCCCAGGTGGGTAGGTAGGTAGGTAAAGGATGTTGCTTCTTTCAGATGTCCCATTTATGCTGATTGTTGTCTGCTGCTGTTGGCCAGGAATCTTCATCACCTCTGTTTACTCTATGTTCACTTGAAGTCCTCTCTTCTCTGGATGCTTTTTCTGCCAACTTGTTGCTTTCCACTTGCACATCTTCCAGTTTGTGAGAAATCAGACATATATCATCGGCGAAGTCCAGATCCACCAGTTTCTTTTTTTGTGTTGGTCCATTTTATGCCTGTTTCCTCACTGCCCGCTGTCTGTCTATCTGTCGCATTATCCAGACTTATATTATACACTACCTTTATAGTTTTTATTTGTTTCTGTCATTATAAATTTTATTTTAGACTTTAATTCTGTCATATTTCAAAAAAACACTGTTGACTCAAGACTTCACTAAGAAGAGAAAGTAAAGTTAAACTGAACCGACCACACACACACACACCGTTATTTATTATCCAGGAAGAAAACATCAAATAGAAATCTATATCCAAGTAGATGGAAACGAAAATTAAAGGAACAGCCTCTATCGATGACAACCTACATATGTTGAGGCTATTTGTCTAGCAGACTCTAGCATCCATACAAGAAGACTCAGACAAAACTTCATAAGATTAGTTATCAATAAACTTTAAGCTTCCTAATCATCTTATTACTGATGAGATACTGAAGAAAAGGCTTTTAAAAAAACAACAACACAAAAGTGTATCAAATTGTCACGATGTCACGAATAAAATCCTTCCACTAATTAGGCCTCAATTTCTCAGGTAATTTAATATTTTATTATTTTGTAAATATATATTATTTGTAATAGTGATTGTAATTTGAATAATATATTAAATGTATTTAATGGTTGGCATCCAGCGATAAAATTCACACACAAAATGGAGAACGAGTCTAGTATTCATTTCCTCAATGTGAACTTATCAAGGAGGATCGATGGAACCATGAAGAGATCGATTTATTGAAAGCTGTCATGGAATGGTCAACTGACAAATTTCTGCAGCTGGGTAACCATTGGTTGGAAACGAAACCTGGTCCGGTCGCATCCCAATCGCATTCGGCGCATATGTGGCCCTGATACTGTGGAGAATGAGGAAAATCCTAATAGACAGTGAATTTCCACTGCGCTTTATAGACAAGAATATACATTCAAATCCTATGAAACGTGACTTGTCATCCGTACCCAAGAAAGTACTGTACATGAGATTGGAATTCAAGGGTGATTTAGCTTCCGATATCATGAAAAGAAGGATATCACAGTCCCGGAAAAGAGCATTCCCTGCTGCATCTCTGCGAATAGCCTTTACCAGTCGACCATTACTGTTCACAATAACCCGAGGGACAAGATCCCGCTGTTGACCAACTCTATGTGCATTTATCAATTCACCTGCTCATGTGGAGCTAGGTATATCGGTCGTTTGACTCGAGTTTTGTCCAAGAGGGTGCAAGAACACTATCCTACATGATCTATCTAATATCAAATTAAATATTAATTTGTTGGGAAATGTTGCCTAAGTGGTTCAACTTTTAAAAACCAACAACAACAACAACAAAAAGACAAACTGAGAGTAATTATTCACTAAACTTACTCAATTGAGTCGTTGTTAACAGCGATGTGCATAGGGAATAATTCAGCCTCACCAGCCAGCGGATTACAACCAGCTTTTAACAATTCTTCTACACATTTCAAAGAATTAAGACGACAGGCAATGTGCAACGGTGATTCACCATTTATGTTCAATGTATTGACATTTAAACCTTTGACGTTTTCTAGGAGAAGCTGGAATATTAGTTGTTTTTTTTTAAAAGTGATTTAGATTTTGCTTTAGTAAAATAAATAAATAAACAAATATTTATGACTTAAGTTGATATTTAATGGTAAGAACCTCATCACCAACTAGGCAAGATGAATTTATCGGCACTTACTTGCATAGTCAACGTTAAAACAGGATAATCGAAGTGTTTATTTCAGTGGGCAGTAATTGGCTAATGGTGTAACAGAATGGTGATTCAGCAAAATTAAGTACACCGAAAAAAGATTGTGTATTAAGTAAGAAGGCGCACTTACTTAAGAGGTTAAGTAATTATATTTGGTTATTCAAAGGGTTTGAAACCATCTGAGTCTTGGTTTAAAATCAAGCACATATACGAAAACGCATTACAAATAAGTTGGTACATATTAGCTGAAACGGCTGCACGGAAATTGAGAATAGAATACTACTTGAAATAACTAGTGAACTAAAACTGACTGACTGACTGGTTTCAACACAGAACTGCTTTGCACCGATGTGCAGCAGTTCCAGTCGACACACTTCACTCAGCACAGAAAGCAAGAGAAGAAAGTGAAAAGAAACGCAAAATACAGACAGTAAACAGAGATATGAGGCAAAAAGAATAGTATTATCGAAGAACTATTTGGTTTTATTGGAAATTATAAGTCACAAGGAGTGGATGCATCTACACCAGATATCATTAAGAACTACCACTTTGAGTCATATCACCAATTGTCTCCAGACATTGGTGTTTACCGTCCTGAGGACCCTAACCAGAAAGTCTTCACCTCCCTACGTAGTTGGATTAAACTGGCTGTTGTGGATTTCAGACTGATGAGGCCATGTTTTGGTTTGACCACCACTGGCTGGCTCTTTTCCAACCTTCCCCTATGTAAGATAACATTGGCCATTGTCAAGTGAACTAAGATCGATCAGTCACTAAGCATACAGATATGCATTTGATGGAGAAGATTCGTAGCTCAAGTGGATGATTTTGATGTGGTTGTGTTCTCTGAACTGGATAGTTATCAAAAACAGATATGCATTGACGGCGAATTAAAATAAAGTAATAACAGTTGTGAGTGACGAATAGGCTAAAAAGACATCCGCGCAGTGCGACAACCTACACGTGATAGCCTGTTCGTGAATCTAATACTACTCAAACAGGGTCCAGAAATTGGAATAAAGTGAACCAGTCCTTCCTTCCTTCCTCTCTCTCTCTCTCCATAAATACAAGGCTTAGTCATATTTATAAAATTTAGAGATATTAAATATGCTTCATAATAATTTCCATGATACTTCACATAGATATTCTCCTAATAGGTTACAAACTTGTAGGTTTTAGATATTAAGAAGTTTCAAAAAATCAGTCAGTTTTTCAAGTCCATAGGAAAAAGAGGTGCGAGTACTCACGCCTTTCATGTTTGCTATGTACTCCAGGTAAATGAAGAGGAGATAAGTGAGTGACATGACAGTAGGTAAGCTTAACTTAATTCGAATACGAGAATAGAACTTGCGCACTGGGAGTATAATTCCATTATCGGTAAAATTTATTTTAAGTCTCACAGTGTTACACAATAATACTTACTGATGACGTTTCGAGCACAGCTTATCGCTTATAATCATTTGATATGACTATGATGACAGCATTGGTATGTACAAGTAATTTACTTTTTTTTCTTGAAGTCACTTGCAAGCAATTACTAATACCCAGCAGTTCAGCAACAACTGTACTAAAAAATGGTGAAACTGAAACCTTTAAATCAACGGGTCACTGGTTTGACTCTTTTCCACTTACGGAGAGTGCAGTAGCCCGATAGTAACTTGGACATCAGGTACTTAGTACATTCACTGCTCAACGTTGTATTTGATTTGCATAAGTTACAAAACGGATTAAGTTGCCGCATTCATACGTCGACATTTAAATGACACTAACAGTGAAAAGAAATAATTATATCAATAGAACAAATAAAGCCTATAGGGTCATCGTGAAAGAAAGTCAACTTTGAGGTAATAAGCACTTCAAACACTTCAGTGTCGGTGACCAAGCAGCATCACAGACTTTTTTCCCCAGCTGCTTCCTCTAGCAAGGATCCTGTTGCATTCCCTGATGGTTGAATTTCAAGACTAGCACAATATGTCTTTGTCCTCTAGTGATGATAGCAGTTAAGCATCATAAAGAAATGGATATGGTAAACTCTCAAATAGAACAAGGAGCTGTGTATTATGGTTGCAGCAAGTGTTCAGAGTACGAAGACGTCTTTACCAAGTGACTATATTATCTACCTACATAATATATACAAGTGAATATGTTTCGCAGGTGAATACTCAGATAATCCCTTAGAAGCAACTATTTTAACTTTAAACTTACACATAACATTTTCTTGGAAGCGTGTTCAGCAGCCAAGTGGATCACAGTATTCCCATATCCATCGCTTTCAAATGCGGTAATATTGTCCAAAGTTACCAAAAAGCGAACAGTTTCTTCATCTCTTTCCTTTATAGCGATTCTTAATGGAGTTAGACCGGAGATAGGATCATATTCATTCAAAAGTCTAAAGCGTTAGACTCAATTTGTTTAATGAGTGAATAAGCTTACCTTCTAACAGGCTCACCAAGAAAGAGCTCGCGCCAGGAAATTGCTGCAGCTACGTGAGCAGCTCCCCAACCATAGTTGTTTCGAGAGTAAGTAGTTACTTTCTCCAAACAAGTACGATCGATGGTTAAACCCACGCTTATGCAGACCAAATGCAGAGGATCAAGGACCTCCATGATTCGTGAAAACATAGCAACACCTGCTTCCTCTTCACCTTGGAATCGGAATAAGCTATATTTTGAAAATCAATTACAAATTTAACAACGACAAATACCTGTAAGCACATATATTTTCACCACTACTTGAGCTGCCAACCAGTCCGGGCAAATACACCATATCAAAGTGGTTTGCCACTTCGTAAAAGTAATAAATCGACTTTTCTTGTAGTAATCGTTCACAGCTATATTTTGGAGATTACACAACACGTGACACAAACTCACTCTTGATATTCGGATTCATATTGACTTATGGTGTATGCTATTATTTTATTAGGTGATATAGATGAAACTGCAGTTTTAACAAAATTGCTGACATATTTTCCAAAAGAAATCATGATCTCTGGTCCCCCATACGTATTTTGCTTTCCTGTCACTACATCAGCCTACAACCTTTTTCCGCATCTAATGCTAACAAAGAAAAACGAGAATAACGATATGAGACTTCCACACAAAAAGCTGGTTATCAGTAGCTAAAACATACTTTGGCAGTAAACATTTAAATGCTGTTATTTATATTATTGTATCCGACGCATATTCCACTTACACGTAACACTCGCAGTGAAATTTCGCAAAGGTTGCTCCCATTTATGTACCCACCACTTATAGCATTTTGAATGTCCGATTTCGTGAAATGCAGTTTGGTAGCCAGCTAAGAGAAGAGAAGTATTCTATTGGACGCTGTTGTTCGTGGCAAGTGGTCTTACCTCACAATCTCTTCTCAATACCGCGAAGGCCATTTATAAACATAACTGAATATGAAAAATCTAGCGACCACACCTGGCGGCTTATCAGAAAGAGTGATGGTGGAACACTTGATAAACAATATTAATTTCCAAGTATTTGTATCTCTGCCTATCCTGTTACTACTACTACTACTACACTAATACTTAACATTTTTATAACTTCCCCTTTAGTAGTGTTGCATGGCTTACTTATGGCAAGCTTTTTTCATAATAGGTAAAACCGTGGACTTTGAAGGTGTAAAATTTTCTAGACACCCTATTTGTAATGAACAGTTTTGGAGACGCTGAAATACTACAAAATAAAATGAAAAAACCTTGTGCTGAAAAAAGGCCTAAGTGGTTATGACAATAATAACTACTCAAAATTCATACGAAATCATCTCGTCGTTCATACAACGCTGCAGGAGGAAATATTGATGATAGCAATGTTTCAATGAATACATATCTACAGTAAATTCCAACATCGATGTGGTCACTTCCAATCAAAAATTAAATTCATAGCCACTAAAATATTAGCTTTTGAAACTTTCAAAGTGTTACATTCAATATAAAGACAGGGTAATTTCAGTTGTCGGAGAGTATTTCCAACGGTCTCTTATAATATTATTTATAAAACTCAGCACTATTTTGTAGATAGATAAAGGGTAGATAAAGGCAACATTAGGGTAAATAAAATAAATAAAAATCAGTATATCTAGCGTAACAGAATAACAAGGATAACCTAGTGCTTCAACGACTGTCATAAACAATCAGGCATACAACATAATTTACACTCAGCAACAACCTCAACACGCAAATCTACCGCGAAGTAAGCTCACTTCACCAACTATCGTCTCTAACAGCCTCACATTACTGGGAAATAACTCCCTGTCGTTAACGCCAGTATATCTACCTTCTTTCTTTCACACACAGACACACACAACAACAACAACAATAACAATCCTCACTATTACACCACACATCTTATCTCCTGACGACAGTCCCAGTATGGCACTCACGCGTCATCTCTACATCAGGCAACACACACCTCTTGCATCAATGACAACATGCATTCATTTTCAAGACGACATTCACTGTAAACAAGGTCCTTTAACCCATCAAATAGCCATTAAGAGTAGGCGGGGTCGACAATTACTCGACAGCATGCAGAACCACGCACACCGTCAAATCCCATACTCACACAGACATTCTCACAACAATCAAATGAAAGACACACAGCCTAACCTGCCCGACATCCTGTCAAGTACGTATGAGCAGCACAAGCAGTAGCAGTAGCAGTGGCAATGGTAACACCAAAACCAACAGGAACAGTAGTCACCGCACTACACCAGTTCGACGTGATTCGGCGCCCGATGATCTGACTAAACAAGCTACCAATATCCAATATCGCTTTGAAGAGCTAGTCTAATCCAATTTGATTTCATTGTCCCCACTTCTTCGCTAGGTAGCAAAATATCTTAATCTTTTGTAGACTTGTGCTTAGTCTGTCCCATCACTCGACTGGCGTAGCTTTGGTTGACTCCAAGGTGAATGGTGTGGGCATCGGTTATGTGTAGTTTGCATTATGCGATGTGTTGAGACCATGTTACTGCCAGGAAGCGCGTTGATCGTTTCCCCCCTGTGGTAGTCCGGGGTGATCAGAAATTGATATAAAATTAATACGAGCAACAGTAGATATAATCAGTGTAGGCTATGTAGAAAATGCACAAACCGATAGCTAATGGAATTTATTAATTCAGAATAAACGCAGAGAAACGACTGTGAAATAACAAGAGAATAAGTGAGTAAACAGGTGGGGTGGCCAGGAGAGTTGGAGAAGTGAGAATGGACAGTGGTGCGGGACGAGTTGAGAGGTGCACCCACTAACAATGCGGTATGTGAGTATTAGGGGATAGACCATTCGGATGCAGTTATTATCTCACTAGGTGATTATCCAACCTCCGCTTAAAGCGTCCCACGAATGTCACATTGACCTTAGCCACACGTACGATGACCTAGGAGAAAACTGAAATTGAAGCGCACTCGAATCTTCAGCATCTGATGCGCTATCCACCGTGGGCTGATTCGAGAAAGCCCAATAATGACTGAATGACAGGGTACATATGTTTGAGTGATTCTGGTCACTCGTGGCGTTTCATAGAATGATTTACTACGGGGAACCACCAACTCATCTCGTCACTCATCACTGAACCCTTATCAAGTACTGGGCGTCCCCTCGTAATTCATGCCACTGTAACAACAGAAGACAAGGGCCAGGCAACAGAACGTTTATTACGGAAAATCAACACGTATTTATAGATTTTGATGTACATTATTGCAAGTTAATGTTAGTAGAAAATACAGTCTGTTGACTGGTTGTTTCTCACACAAAGTTAACCTTGCATCTCTTGTGGCTGTGTCAGTTCATCTATATGTTAACTGTATCCGCCTGTCCATCTTGACCTTTAACCTCAATTACTGTCAACCAACCTAGCTAGCAACCATCTCCCACCACACCACACTCCAACTTCTATGTCAGAATGAAGCCTAAGCCGTGCTATGCAGTTACGCTTCATGTTACAAACATCGTGCACCGATTATTGGTCACTATGTGTGACCGAAGAGAGCTGCTCGTCACAGTTGAAGTGTTTACCTCCTCCGTCAATCAGAGGTGTTTCGAAGACAATCTCTTATATCAATATTTCGCATAGCCTTACTGGAGATTCATTTACACAATTCGTCTATGTCCGGGCCTCACTAACAGAATTCACAATCTCAATAACATGGAGAATTGTGAATCTTCAAATGCGTCCTGCTCTTCAAATCCTTTAGATTCTCGTAGGTGTCTACCTATCAGCACACATGTACAACAGCATTCCTTTATATCCTCCTGACGAGCAGTTGCACACCGAATTTACCTCTCTAATCTACACTCACGGCGATGGGGGAACGCTTCCTGAACGAAACACCCATATCGCAGTGTGATATTCACTTGCTCCACGAAGACACCTTAGTACTACAGATCCAAAATTGAGAGAACTTCACCCACCATCACCCTCGGAAGTAAGAGACAGCACAGTTTCCTTCCACTCCAGTTGGCACTTTCTTTTGTTCTGTGGAGTGTTGACAATCATCACGTGATGGCATTCACAAGGTGTATGCTCAGTATTTCCCAAGTGATGACCGAATATCGTCACAGTGTAGGGACTTCCCTTGGTTGGAAATTAGCAGTTTGACTGAGAGCATTGCGGGGCTAATGTGAAGTGGATCTTGGTGGCTCAGTGGAGGACGGCATTCGCATCACAGTGGTACTACTCTGTGTTGCTTATCTACCTGTTAAAGGCCGAACTGAATAATTCGGACGTCTCCATACTCGTCAAACACTGACCGCCTCTCTGAGTTCCCTGTGCCTCACTCAGACCATGAGGCGTCCTTCATGAGGCTCACGGTAACGATGCTTGATTTCGCTGTGTGAATTATCCCCAACAACCATTCCTCAGTGTCCATCAGTTGGCAGTGCTGTCCTATCATTGTGGGGTGCGACATCAGTTAGGGATGCCCTTTATGTTGTAGTCACTCTCACTGTTACACAAGCAGGGCTCTGTGAGATACCCCTATTTGCACTCCTATAGGGCCAGGTCGAAGTCTTTGACTGCATAGTCGATACTACCTGGAGGGGTTTCAGGTTGAACGCTTATACCAGCGAGTGGTCAGCAAAGAATACAGTTTACACGACTTTCCACTGGTGCCCACCAACTCTTGTCTCCTACCTTCTCAACCATCCGAATCCCTCCAATTGTGTGTAGTGGATGTCACCTTAGAGTGCCTTGAGCATTTCTCGTCCTTAGTTCGAGGGTATTGATGTGGCGTTAAAAGAGTTGCTGGATGGAGGTGGCTGTTGGATGGCGCACAATAGACACTTGACTTATCCGATTATGACATGATACAGAGTAGAGTCTGGCAGTCTTATGTGCGTGGATCCATTGCATTGTGTAAGTTGTAATTGTTTGCTGAAGTATATGACGACCACGCCTCCTTCGTTATCATCCCTGTCCCTCCTGAACACCCACGCATCAGTTATGCCGACCTCATTGTCAGGAGACAATAGGAGACAGCCATGTCTCTATCACTAGCATCATTTTCAGATCAAGATAGAAGCGTGAATGTTTACCAACCAAACCATCTCGTTTGAGAAGACATTTATGTGGAGTGGGGTGTGTCAAATGGGAAGATAGCGGTTGTTTATGAAGGTGTGTTTCGTGAGCATGATGGTAGACAGGTGGAGCAGAGGGGTCTAGTCAAACACACGGTGGGCCGTCTTTTATTCAGTGGTATCCAATAAAGAGAGGGAACCTCATAAATCAATGGAAAGGCATAGTGCCTACTCGGCTAGTCGTCTCGTCTTCTCTCGGTCTCCAGTCACCGACCACCTACTGAGTGACTCTAGCGATTAAAATGCGTTTTGTCGCGCACTGAAATAGAAACCAAGTCGGGAATTAAATACCTAGGCGTCATTCTATCTGCTGATCTCTCCTGGTCATCTCATATCTTGGCGATTTCTAAGAAAATATTCCATCTTCCCTTTTACATCAACAGGGTAAAACATTCTGGTATAACCCAACCCTTACTCTTATAATTCGTTAACTCTCGCATTCTACCTATTATTCTCTACTGTTCTCTCTTAGTTTTTCCCGGGCTACTGAAATGGGTCAACCGTGGGCATAGTACGGTCGGCAAAGGTGAGTTTCAAATTCGTGCTTCTATGGGGGATCAGCCAACGCCCGCTTCGCCACGAACAGTCAGTGCGTGTCCCTCTCGCGCATGGTGTCTGGGAAAATTGCCACGGATTTGTGGTGATTATGGAGATCTGAGCATGCATCTGTCATGGATTGATACAAACTACCCCACGTTCATGGCTACTAATTATCTGAGATGCGTCACAGTGTCTTCCAACATAGACACAGTTCGTGTCTACAACAGTATTCTAGATGACACACCTACAAGAGGGACTACCACACAATTCGGATTACAGGAGTTAGGGAGGGTGCGATTCAGCCTTTAGAATGCTGCTCAAACTTTGCAGACGTGGCCTCTTCTGTAGAGTCCAAACTAGGATGAAGTAGCTGTCAATTAGTTCCTAGGGGGTGTCGTTTCGCCACCTTTTGGCTTACTGACAATGCTGTCAATTCGTCGCACTCTACCAGCCCTGACTAGGTGTCATTTACCTAGTCAGTACTTACGAGGAAACGCGAATTCCAGCCCTACACGTGATCGTCTAAATAATCAACCTAACTAGACGGTTAGTCTTAAATGTTAACGGATTTGATTTTGCTATTCTGTTACTATAATCCTGTGTAGTCGAATTCTTCTGAACCATTTATTATAATGAACTATTGTCTCTTTCTACGCATATATATATGCATGGTGATGTACCGTTATGCAGTGTCTTTTCCTACCTTTTCATATTGCCCCTTCATTTTCATATGTTTACAACTAAAATCGAGAAAGTTGACTACAACCGTCTGATTTATTTACATACTTATTGTACATATTTCTAAAATGCTGTAGCAGATGAGACATACAAGTTGGCTGACTGAGAGTAGGCGTTCGTATCATGAATTTCGTTGAGTTAGCCAGTGAATGCGAAAACAGTCTATGTAACACATAATAATAAAAATGCGAAAAAGCAGTATTTTGTGAGAGCCTAGTAGATTAAAAGGTGGGATGTTGGTGACTGCCATTCAGCGCACATCTGTGGGTAAGCGCCCTATTGCTAAGGCTCCTGAGTTTAAATAACTTCACCAAAAAGAAAGATAAGATCTACCATAATGCCCCCGCTTGGGTATGAACTCGTTTAATACAAGCGCACGGTGTGATTTCGCTACTTCAGAAGGACATCTGACTGTATAAAGCAGAACAACGGTATAAATAGTATTACCAAACTCTCGCTCTCCTTCTACATATTTTATGTTCTTCGATGTTTTGGTTTAAATTCGTTTCCAGTATCGATTCCTCCAGTTAAAGAAACAGGGCTGCCATGACCCATATTGTCTGTTACCACCAACTGAAACACAGAATATCTGATTAAGATTTTATTCAACCGCATCACGTATAACCTACCCGTCCTTATTGGTATTGTATGTTGAGTCAATACACACCACCTCTCCATATTTCCGATATAACTGCACCTGTGATTCCAGGGCGAAGCAAATTCTGCTGGTTATCCCTGTATTCGAATCCACGTATTCAACCACCTAACCGCT